GCCAGAAACGAGGAGAGGGAGAAATTTCTGTTTGACAAGGTTAGACATAATAAACAGATAAAATATAAAATATTACCCTGCGGAAATTAAAATACACAATCGTGCTGATAACGTGTTGAAGTATTAGTATAGGGATAACCAATAGAAATATTAATTATTTCTACTACTAACCACTACTTTATATATATTGTATATAATATATATATAATGAGTATATATATAGATGTATGTGTGCAGCCGTGTGTGTGATTATATAATATATATATGTGTGTAAAGTATTATATATATATGTATGTACGTTTGTAGCATGTATGAATATGGAAGTAGGGAGGATGTGAAAAGATAAATACATTAAACTGTAGTCTCGCATTTCATTTCATACATAGGACTTATTTATAGGAAAGTATTAATACATCTTGCGGTTGAGAATTATTCAACGTAAGTGATACGCGGCATTATATTAAAGCATCCATCCTTATGATACGAAGCTGATACGTATATAATAGTCCATTATTAGTGAAGAAATGAATTAGTATTTTTATTGTAGTATGCGAATCTTTGTGATGTGAAAGTTCTATAATATATATACATATATATATATATGTTAAATGATATAGGTATAAAATTGTCATAGGTGTAATGCATGTTTGTATACTAATTTAAGAAATGTTGTCAATTTTTTTAAAGAATTTTTTTTTATTATTATGATAAAGTGTCCAGATGATAATAATAATAATATACAATGGTTTTATATAAAGATTTCTTAATGAATTAATACGATTGGAGAATGGTAGATCGATCAAATCTGCTTTGAATACTTTAAATAGGATTAACTTCCTTTGAAGTGCAGGTAACTCACAGTTGACATCGATATAAATACTCGAACACAAAAGAAATAAATGAGCCAAATATTTATAACCTAGTTCGGTTATAACACCTTATATCTAGGAGATCCCAATCCAGGAGATGCATCACTATAATCAATATTGAATACATTACAAAATAACCTCAAACTCACTTAACTCATACCATCAATAATGGCTTACCTTGCATTCAATGCACAGGTACTGGACGTTAGAAACACATACAGACACAAGTGTATACATCAAATCCAGAGTAATATAGTCAACAAGATGGTTGTCACCTATTATTGGGCCTATATAAACTCCTTCATCCGGAAACTCCTCTGGTGAGTTTTGTGTAACAACAAAGTGAAAATCATGGAGATGGAGAAGGACTCTTATTCAACAATATTTTCTCTCTTTAGAATAATCTCTCAAATGTGTTATATCTCAAAACTGAGGTTGTCTCATTATGTGTATACAACAACCTAGTTTGAGTGTGACTTAAGGAGCAATTAATTCTCTTAGCACATAAATGAAATGAGAACTATTTTAACATAAATATGACATTCCATTGACCAACCACATTCTACCAATTTGTCTTATATGAATATTTGAATAGATGAGACAAAATAGAAAAGACAAAACATACACTCAGGTGTTGCAGGTCGTGTGCGGCTGTGTCTGCCTACAGCAGTGAAAAATAGTTTGCTATTTTTGGAATATGGCGACAACAGCTATGCAGAAAGGTGGTTTTTTCATATGCCGAAAGAGAAAAGAGAGAGATATTTTCATTTAACTAATACAAACGAAAGCAAGAAAGAAAGATAAGAACAAAAAAAAAAAAAGTATTTGGCATGAAGAGTCTCGTAAGGGAAGACCCGATGGTGTCAGGGTGAACTCTTGACCGTGAGGCTATGAGTTCAAACCTCTGACACCTCCCGGTCCACATGTCACACATGGTTTACCTAGTATGACTTGTCTTGTCGAGTAGCGACTACGGCTTCCCAAATTCATGAAGATGAATTGATATTGCTAATAATGTTGAGAAAATATAGTAATTGTGTTTTGACATTAAGTATGAAAGTATATGCCTATACAATTATGATACATGAGATGCAATTAACTTGAGGTGTAAATGACATTCAATGTTCAAGTTGAATCAATTAACATAATATTTAAAATCAAATTGTTAGCCTATAGATGTATATGGTCATACTATAATCAACCTATTATTTGTAAATATTTTAATTTTGCAGATATTATCTATGTACAATAACTCTTTCTTTATGTCACTTGCAATGAAAAAATTGATGTAATTACTACATTTTCGTTATATTCTCTAAGTTAAATTTAGTTCTAAAACCACTCTCACCATACTATTTGGTCTATCTTGTTGCACATCAATCAAGTGAAACTCTAATAGTTATATATGTACTTTTAATTCAAGTTATCATACACTTTAATCTCAATCAAAATAATACAATATATAAGGAATTTGGCAAAAAAATAATTAAAATTTACATTTTAAAACAAACTAACAAAAACCAGAAAATAGAAGTCAAAGTAATAAAGTGAAGTGAAGAAAAATTGGACACAAGTGAGAAAAAAAAAATGCAAATGAGTGGTGTACTTGTTATATGAAAATGAGAAGTGATCAGAGTATTTATGGGGAGAATGAATCATTTTAGAAATTTGACGGTATAAAAAAATAGTAAGATCATTTACGGTCGCAAGAAGCTCGCGATTTGGAGGTATTTTTTGCGATAAAAAAGTTAGATTGAGGTTGGCTTTTAAGCAAATGTGATATTCCCTAATAATGAGTCTGATACTCACAAACAACTTTTGGAATCCAAATTATAAAAAATAAGCTAGCTTTGCTTAGAAAAGTTAAAAACTTGGCTGAATTGCTAACTTATAATACTTGATAAATATAAAAAATAAATTTGACTAACAATCGATACTTGTAAATTAAAAACTAAACATGGATAAAAATAATCATGTTATCCCCAAAATATTATATTGAGGCAAAATAACTCAAGACCAATTGAAGGAGACCGTACAGTCCGACCGCTTTGACCCGTGGAGAAAAGCCGAACAGTCCAACCAGCTCGGCTCATCTGTGCGAGGCGCGGTTCAAATAGGAAGTCGATCTGCCGCCGGTCAGATCGTACCAAATCAAAATTGGATTTATTTTTTGATAAAATAGAACAATCATGCTACGGTCTATGGGAGAAAGCCGGAGAGAATAGCCAAGTTGTTGCCTATTCTTAAGGAGAAAATAGTTGGGTCGTTGCCTATTTTAAAGAAGAAAGTAGCCGGGTCGTTGCATATTTTTAGGGAAAAAAAATAGCTAGATGGTTACATCTTTTTTTGTGATAGGGTGTTTGACCAAGAAGTTGAGAAAGAATAGAGATTATTCAATATTGGAGTTAAAATCCTATTGTTGTGTAAAATATATATAAAGTAATTTTTTTTTTATCTCATTTAATATCATAATTATCAATTTTGGTTCAATTAAATTTTTTTTTATCAATTTTGGTTTTACTCAAATGAAAATTTATCAATTTTAGTCCAAGACAGTTAACTGGGACTGAACACGACCGTGTTGGCTTGAACATGGCTGTGTTGGGTGACTCAGAAGAGTAATTGGGCGTCCCAGCCAACACGGCTGTGTTGGGCTCAACACGACCGTATTGATTACCCTATACTTCTGAACACTGCCGTGCTGCTGCCTATGTTCATGTCCAACCATGTTGTAGGCCATGTTTACGACTATGTTCTCAACACAACTATGTTTTAGGTCATGTTCACGACCATGTGTATATCATATTTATTATTATTCACTTTTTGTTAAACTTGTTTGATATATATATTTATAATTACAAAAATAATTTTTAAAATTATTTCATAATATAAAAATAATCAACTTTTAATATTTTAAAAATAAATTAAAAAAATATAAAATTAATAATATATTAATATATATATTTTAATAATAGTCATTATTTCTTATTTTCAATTACTAAAAATCAAATATAGTGAGGATTATTAAAAATATATACCAATATATTATTATTTTTGAATAATTTTTTTCAATTACTTTTTCAAATATTAAAAATTAAATATTTTTTATATTATGAAATAATTGTAAAAAATATTTTTGTTGGTTTACAAATATATATATCAAATAATTTTAACAAAAATGTGAAAATTATAATAATATGACTTACAATGTTTAATCATGAACCACCTTATTCAGAAGTGGAGGGTAATCAACACAAATAGTGTTAAGAAGTGCAAGGTAATCAACATGGCTGTGTTAAATCCGAACTCAATCATCATTCTGAGTCATCTAACAAAGTGTGTTTAGTCCCAGTCAACTATTTGAACTAAAATTGATAAATTTTTATTTCAACAACACTAAAATTAAATTTTTTCAATGGAATCAAAATTGATAAATATGACATTAACTAAAAAAAAAAAAAAAAAAAAAACACGTATGTCACAGAAGCACTCACGCCGTACACACCTCTAGAACCCCCAGTACACATGCTGGATTATTTTCTTTATTCCTTTTAATTATGCAATTCATTTTCGATTTTTGTTCCTTTATTTTTCCTTCAAGCCCATTTGCTTGATCGGATTGATTCATTTTTTTCTTTCAATCCAAATGCGTATATTTCAACGAAGAAGATGAGAACGTGGAAAGAATTAACAAATTGGTTTGCAATAAGGAAGGGCCTAATGGAATCTATAAAGTATCATCAATGGTCTTTAAGGCCATCACCAATGTTCTTCAAGGTCGAATCAAATAAAATAAAAAATAAAAATTAGGGAAAGAGAAGGAAAGACCATCAACATCCTAAAATATATATATATATATATGTATTTTCTTATCCTTTTTATATATTTTAAATTTTTCATCTTATTTCTTGTACCTGTTTAGTTTAATACTCCTTCGATCCATTAGATCAAAACCACTAGCAGCAGAAGCATAAGCAGCAGCCTTAAACCTTAACTAGTTCATCCTGCTCTGATGAGCATAACTAATTCAATCATCATGCCTTAATTCTGTTCCTATTATATATTAGTATTAGATATTTATCATTGGGCACAAAGATTTCTCCACAAATCACATCATCTAGCTAGCTGTATCATCCTCTCCCTGTTATGTTTTCTTCTGCTACGTCCACTGAATCATTTTGCTATGCTCCATCTTCATATGTTTGTCCGTTGCTTGTGGGAGTTAGCAAGCTAAGCTTCTTTAATTGAACACCTTTCTCAGTGACCTGACTGACCCATTTCGTTTCTTGATCCCAATTAAAGTTCCTAACTTGTTTTGTTGTGCAATTAATTGCTTTGATTACTTCCAACTGCCAAGATTAATAATTATAATAGCCTCTGCCAGAACAAGAAGAAGAAGAAGAAGAAGAGAAGCTGCTGTTCAATTTTTATTCGTTTCTTCTACAGTTTGGTTTCTGCAACAGCAACAGCAACAGCAATGCCTCAGAGGTATTTCCCTTTGAGATGGGAAAGCACAGGAGGAGATCAATGGTGGTTTGCTTCTCCCATCGATTGGGCGGCTGCTAACGGCTACTACGATTTGGTTAGGGAGCTTCTGCAAGCCGACGCCAACCTCCTCATCAAACTGACCTCTCTCCCAAGAATCCGATGGCTGGAAACTGTGTGGGACTCGAATGACGATGATATCGCCAGATGCCGATCCCAAGTGGCACAAAAACTAGTCGAGGACAAAGGCTACAAGTGGTTGATCGAGGGTGGCTATGGAGGTTGGCTTCTGTACACTGCAGCCTCGGCTGGAGATTTGATATTTGTGAAGCAAGTGGTGGATAGAGAGCCTCTGTTGGTGTTTGGAGAAGGGGAGTATGGCGTGTGTGATATATTTTACGCTGCCATGAGGAGCAGAAGTAGCCTTGTCATCAGGCTGCTGCTGGATCGCGCCATGTCGCAGCTTCCGGATGACGATGATGGAGGAAGGAGGGATTTCAAGTGGGATTTGATGAATAGAGCTGTTCATGCTGCGGCTCGAGTCGGAAATGTGGATATGCTGAGGGAAGCACATGTGCAAGGTTTGGGTTACTATAAGGATGGGCAGGGTTCCACACTGCTGCACACTGCCTCAGCCACCGGGCAGGCCAAGGTCATCTTTCATTCCTTCTTTCTTTTTTTTTTTTTTTATTTTGAGACTAGGCCAACTCAACACTAGTACGATATTGACCGTTTTGGGCTGAGTCCGCACGGATTTATTTTTGAATTTCCTCCAAAAAGCCTCATACTAGTTACTAGTGGACTTCCATCGATGATATTGATTGATTTTGGTTGAATATATTGTATAATAGAGAAGCCTAGATGTGACAAAATCAAATCACCAAATCTGATAACGTGATCGAAAATGCGATTTTCTTGAAGCGAATTCGGTCCCTCTATATCGATTGCCTCCCAAAATAGAACGAATTGAAAAGAATTGGAGATTCCGTAAGTCGAATTAAGAAACACATAAATTTTTCGAAGAATATTTGATGGTTGAGAAAACTTGAATTTTTTTTAAAAGAGATTCTTTTTTACTTAAAAAAAAAAAAAAAGTATTATTGATATATCTCAAACATAGGCCCAAGCCCAAACCATATAGTCTAAATCCAATTCAATTTTGTCATTTATTACTGAATGGTAATAAGAAGTTAATAAGGTGAGTTTGTTTGTATTACCCATGATACAAAACTCTTCATTTCCGTTCTCTTCTCTGTTTTTCGCACACACACCCAATATATATATATATATATATGACTGACTGATCTGATTTCAGGTTGTTAAATATTTGATATCATCTTGCAATGACATGATCTGCGGGGTGGACGACGGAGGCAACACGGCCCTCCACATGGCTGCATTCCACGGCCATCTCGCCGTCATGAAGCTTCTTGCATTCGCCTCTCCTTCCTCCGCCTTAATGACAAACCATAACGGAGACACTCTTCTGCACATGGCTATGGCTGCTTTCGCAACTCCCACTTTCAAAAGACTCGATAAACAGATGGAGCTTATCAAACACCTGCTTGTCGGGAACATCATCAATATCATAGATGTAGCCAAGATTATCAATGCTGCAAACCACCAAGGCAGAACTGCGCTTCACATGGCCGTCGTTGCAATGCCAAACATCCATCCTGACATAGTCGAGCTGCTTTTGTCAGCTGCCGTAAACATCAATTTAAATCTACCTGATGCTGAGGGGAACACACCATTAGATCTGCTGAAGCAAAGACCGCGATCAACCTCCGGCCAGATATTAATTAAGCGGCTTATTTCAGTTGGCATGTCGTCAAACTCAAACTCTAACTGTTGTCAGGATTCAACAGCGAAGAATGTTGTCGTTCCAACAGGTCTGAGTCCAGGAACTTCTTTCAGGATCGCTGACGCCGAACTAATATTGCACGCTAGACTACAAGAACAAAATAGGAGGCGTATGGTTGCCAGTGGTGAATTTTCAATCACAGAGCACGCATTAGGTGAAATAGAATCAATGGAATCTAAACAGAAAGGGATGAATCCACTGAGCAGTGTCGCCAGGCGTCTCAAGATTCTGCTTGGTCTGCCTAGGCCTGGGAATACTGCAGATTCACAAGATGACAACTACGGTAGTATGAAGTCAAATAGAATGTTCTCGGCAGCTGCCTCGTCCAGAAATAGCCCAATTTCGTTGAGGCAGCAATTTTCATCATCAAGACCTTCCTGCTCCCCTTCCCCTACCAGTAGTAGCACCAACCAGGGAATACTAATGCTGTCTTTACAGGGCAAGGGAAATCTGGAAAGTCCATGTAGTTTAACAGCAGGGCAAGTGGTTCTAAAATCAAAGCTGGGACTGGGAATGGGATCTTCCCCATTGAGTATTTATTCTGAGCCTGAGCCTTGTTGCTTGTCATTGTCATCTCCCATGACCATGACAGCTGCTACTGATATTTGTTGTAGCTCAAACCAGTCTCCAAACCCACAAGTAAAACGTAGACGCAGCCGCAAGCAGTACTGTTCCTTGAATCTCAAGTACATGATGAATAAACTGTTTTAATTACTGCCCTGCTTGGCTGTCCACTGTGTTGAGTATGCTAAAATATATTTAGAAGCAATATATTATATTTACGGTAGTTGTCTTATTTAAGAGATTCGTAGGATTCTTGTGACGATTTGTATTCTTATGATTGAAAGTAGTACTCTACTACTGCCTCCCAACTGCATATATATACACTTTTTAAGTGCTACCAGGGCAGCAACATAACTGCAATGCATAACATGAGCAGATGCTGCTGCTGCTGCTGCTGCTGCTTTGCGTGGTATAAATGCTCTACTCTCCCACGATTTTGATTTGATTTGATTTGATTTGATTAATTTGGCTGTGTTTCTTTAGATGATATGATTTAAATTGATTTATTTTCACCATTTAATTCGTTTCATGAAATAATTTGGTAATGTTGCACACATGGTACGTATACACATCACCAATAGGTGTCCCATACCTTGATGCATAATGTGGAAGCAAGTAATTCACCACAAACCTTTGCTTAAATTTTGCCTATAAATAGGATTATACAAGTACATTGAATGATATATCAAACCATTGCAATCTCATTAATCTCTCCCACGCCTCTCACTCAGTCTCTCTACGTCACTTTTCTTAGTATATTATATACAATATATACAATCATACTACATACATATATATAAAGATATTACACACATTAATATATATATATATATATATATATATTACACAACGTGCACATTGCACATACATATTGTTGGTATGAAAATTTTGTTTAACTGCATCGAGGATTTGTAGAAACTACATAGGACCGTTTGGTGTGAGTAGACTGATGCCGCTGTCCATGATGTCCGTTTTGAAGGACTATTCCAATGAACTAGAAAAGGACTAGGATGAGATAATTATATGGCCGTCTCAATGCTTGATTTCAACCAAAGACAAAAAAACACATTGACCAACGTGCTTGCATATCTTAGAAAGTCAACGGAGAAGAGAAAAGTCTCCAACACTCCATGCAACTTTTTTTTATATCATTTGTGTCACTCTTTTTAATGATATTTAATGGAATCTAGACAAATGAAAATTATTTCCATCTGCTTTGATATATAACATAATGTGTGCCAAAGCATGTTTGACCTCGTGGAGTCTTAGGTTGTCGATTTTATTGGATGAAAGGAGACATGTGTATTCTATATAACAAATATGCTCTAGGAATATTGGAGACAAGCTTTTCAAAATTTATTGGGAGAAAATCAAGAGTGTATTTTCATGAGCGTTGAGCTAAGTGTGAGTTGAGAACTTAGAAATTTCATCTCAACCATTATTTTCTTGTTGAAAAATTGAAATTCAATGGTGTAATAGATAGAGTCTTACTTTTTGCTAATGGGGAGTTTTTTCTTTTATATGAATGGATTTTGTTGTGAGGTTGGGCCATGTATTGAGTAGAGAAATATGGGAAGATTTTGTATATTATATTGGGTCTAAACTTGGTGGAAGATGTTGGAGATTAGAAGTCAAAAATGATATCCCGAAGGAGTTTTTGTTTTCCACTATGTCGACAAACAACTTAGTGTTTATTTGGTGCAAAGGGGTTCCAAGGAGACTCGAATGGGGAGAAGCTGGCAAGCCACCTACACCTACATCCCATTTCAAATCACAACCAATGGAGGCCAAGCTTGTGCATGTTTGTCTTGGCGAAGGAAGATGCATCTGTATATAGTAGGAAAATCCATATATTAAATTATGTGTGTGGCTATTGATTGGTGAAGTTTGTCTAAAGAATTTTGTATTTTATTTCTACCTTACTCATAGTGAAACTTTTATAGGTTGGTATCCCCAAATATAGGCCAGTTGAGGACCGAACAAAATCAACAAACACTAGTGTACTATTTGTCTGATATAATTTTGCACAATCCCTCTATGATCTTCTCGTTGTTCAATCACAAGCAGACAACGTCATCCAAACACAAAAACCTTTTGTGTTTTGCATTCCATTATATTGAATTGTCCATTGGTGTTCAAAGTTGGATTTTAAGGTGTTGAAATACATCTTCTAGGATGTCATACATTATATACACACATTATATGTATTATATTTATACATATATATAAAGTAGTAGTCAGTGGTAGACACAATTAATATTTATGTTTACTATCCCTATAATAATTTTACAATACGTTATCAGCACGAGTGATTCTCCGTCCACACTATATTTTGTAACGTATGTATATTAAATATTTTAATACAATTATAATTACTAAATTGAAATACATGAATCTATATCAATTGTCATTTTTTTATATAAGAATTACCTGTTCTGGTCATACATTTATAAATGTATTTGAAATCCATAGGTCCAAGTGGAAAAAATAATTAAAGACAATAATTCCATGAGTCACAAGGAAGATAACACAATGATATTTCTTACATTATACTAATAGATAAGTGAAAATGAAATATCTCACAGTCAAGAATCATTTTAACTTGTGAAATAAATTAAAATAAAGATACGATCACCTGAAGTTGATAGTGATTCCAAAGTTCGCAACATAAGACAAAATTTGAGATTGTAAGACTTTAAAATAGTCACTATATATAATTTCACCATATTTAGAATCACTTCAAAATTGAACCTATGTGGTATTACAAGGAAAAATATTTGCTTCATTGACAATGCCACCACCCACATGATATTGAAATACACAAACTATTTCTCCTACGTTAAGTTGAAAAAAAAAAAAAAAAAAAATCTAAATCAAGACTATAAGTGGCAGTGTGACATAATTAAAGCTCCGAAAGAGCTCTTATCTATTTTTTTGAAAAAATAATATGAAATGCAAATTGTACTTTTCTCAAACAAAGCTCGAGTATATTTGCTAAGCTATACTTATATTCATAAAAATATATATCACATTCAAACAATGAATGAAATAAATAATGAATAGTTGATTATTAAAAAAATTATCAATAGACATAAATATGCAATAACAAAATTTTTCTAGTTGTCCTCCGGCTTATACTATAAAAAAAATAAAAATAAATGCTATTGAAACATATGGGTAGACTTGAATTCTACAAAGTTAAATAAATTTATGATTTGACATAATCGCCTCTGGAAATTTGAAAATAATATAATAAGGTGAATAATTGATAACCTCATTGCCTATTTATTAAAAAAATCAAAAAATTTTGAATTTGAATAAATTCGCATGTGCTTAATGCGGTACTTTTGGTATGGATTTTAGAGATTTATGGGGGTCTTAATGGTGTATTAAATATGTATCAACTTCTAACCCAAAAGTATTTTCAAATAATAAATTTTCTTGTGTTAATTGGTGAGTGTTTAGTCAAACTCAAGACATTTAATATTGAGGAAAAACTCGAGTAGAAGTGAATGCGAGTTTATGAGATCGAAAAACAAGGATGAGTTGCATTAAGACTAAAATTATAATAAGGACAATAAATTTAGAAAGTGAATCAATGGTGAGAGAATGTGTTAGAAACTGCGTATGAGAGAATGCTGCGTTAAAGTAATTACATTAGACTTTTGTTTGCTAATTGCATTTGCTCTTACCATGGTTTATTTTAGTTTATGGCTACTTAGTAAGATAAACGAATTTTCAATTACTAAACTAATGTTCCATCTTTGAAATCATTTTTATGACCGTTGAGCCGTTCTCCTTGACACCCGCAATTGATGAATTGAAAAATTAGTTAATTACCTTCCTTTTACTATATTTTCTTAAGTTAAATTGTGATCAAAAGACTGCTTTCATAGGAGGCCCTGGGTCTACGTACCAGTGTAGATATCCTCTTGGACCGTTCTATTTAGATTAGATAAGGTGACTTATATTTGCTTGTAACCAAAGTTAGTGTGAGGCAATTCACAAAACAATTATCTTGTGCATATGTTATTAATGAGTGTTGGTGAGATGGAGAATGATGGTACTTTACAAATGAATGTGATACCCCGGAGTTTGGCTGTTGCTTGGATGTGTGTCCATATAGATTAAGTGGATTGAATAGACTACTCATGTCAACAATGTGCCCATTTCTTTTCGAGAGCCCTACTGAAAGAACTCTAGAGTTAAGCATGCACTAGACTCGTGTTGACCTGTGAAGGCAGTCTACACACCCGACACACCCAGCTTTGCATGGCTTGTGGGTCGGGGTGTCACAGTTGGTATCAGAGCCGACTTGCGATAGCCCGTAGCCATTGACCGGACTGGTGATGGGCCTAGCAGTTGATGATCCCTTGCTTGTCCAATTCCCGTGTGTGGATGAGCCAGTATTAGGCCATTAGTTGAATAGAAGTTAAATGGATTGGATAGACTACTCATGTCAACAATGGTGCTAGAAAAGTAAACGGTGTGGGTGGCTAAGCACGCGACTTCTGTCATGATTGGTGCTAGAGAAATGAATAGTGAAATTGTGTTTTGTTACAAAAGACATACATTGACCCCTATTTATAGGCGCTAGTAGAGCTTCTAAAAGGTTAACAGTTATTGACAACTAACATCTAGTTGACACTTTGATTCTCATCCGTACAATCTAGCATATGCAAAAATAGTGTCGATCTTCCTCCTATGCGGGATTAAGGTAATTGACCTTTTGAAGGGAAAGCCAAGGCAGAGTTGATGTGTTTAGCCAAGAATAGCGACTTCTGGAAATCGACTAAGCAAACATGCCTAGCCCAATCTTTCATGAAATTGACTAAGTAAATGTGCCACTGAATTGATGCTTGTTTGAAACTTATACAATGATTAAACATGTTTACACACCTTCTCCTTTTGGGGTTTCTTTGGATTCTCATGGCTAACTTTTGATGGATCCATAATGTGAATGTATGAACAATCTATCAAGAAAGAGCTGGTGTTGAAACACAAATCTTACATATTTACTGTGTGCATTTTATGTTTAACATCAATTCAAACTTTGTACAAATTACATTCATTACAAAGTTTCATATTGTATGTCCCCGCCGCGCGGCTTCTCTCATGCATCTAATTTATTGTCTGTGTTATGATTTATATGGTGCAGAGAAGTAGAAGAAAAAGAAAAGGGGCCGATTATTGTAATGAATAGGGCATCCATTTCTTCTAATGCAACCCCATCAGCTGGTGCAAGTGGTAACCCTATGAACCTGATTATGCATGGTATA